AAGGGCAATGAGGAAAACCTAGTGGATTTAAACTGACAACGTGAAGAGAACTGACATTGGGGTTTGGAAAATGTTGGAAGTAGGTGCAACAGAGAAAGGGCAGAAAGCTTCTTTAGAGACAACACAGCCTCCATCTGATCATGTGCACATGTGAGTAGACATGATGCACCCTGTGTTGTCTACAATTATGACGCAACAATGTAAAAAGGCAGCATGGCTGACTGTTCCCTAAGTATGGGCAGAGTCTGGCTGTCCAGGTACACGCTTGCCCCCAACAGCACTTGCCTGACATACATTACAGTAAGACTGCCAGAAATCAGAGACAATCAGAGAGTTTTGAAAGCAGAAATATCAAAAGAGATTCATCACATTCAAGAAAGCCTCCGTAAAACTATCAGTGGAGATCTCAGTAGAAACCCTACAAGCAGGAGAGACTGGGTGATATGTCAAGAGCCCTGAAAGAGGAAAAATCAAACTGTTGTGTATAATTATGATGCAACAATTCTACCTTCTTCTGACAAAGAAGAAACAAACTAGCAATCAATTTTTTTAAAAAGGAACTATGAAAGACGGAGATCAGCAAAATGACAACAGGTAAACCCTTACCCATCAATGCAATGTAAATTATCCAGAAGCCACGGAGGGCTGGGTGGCTGCAGGAAGGAGAGCTGGACAGGTGCTGCCAGAGGAGGCAGACAGGACTGAGAGTGCAGGGCAGAGAGTGGGCTCCCTGACCGTGGGACCTGGAGCAAGTGATGGACTCAGAGAGACAGAACTTCATGTACAGAACTGCAGTGGGAACCACAGAAGGTCACCACGTGATGGCAAAGGGTCAATTCACCAAGAGGGCCCAAGGGCAAGTGCGTGCACCGAGCATCAGAGCCCCGGTAGAGAGACAGCGCCACAGACCTGAAGGTAGAAGTGGACAGCAGGGTAGGAGTAGCAGTGGGCTCCACCAGCAGGTGTCCAGGAGGGAAGTAAAGGAAGCGTCGGCCTCCAAGGGCACCGATGAGCCAAGACACCCAGATCACAGCCACATGACCCCTCCATCAGCACCAGAACACACGTTCTCCTCAGACACACACAGAACGCTCTCCAGGAGCTCATGTGTCAAGCCACATCTTAAGAGATCCAGACCAAGTGCAGTGCACTTTCCTGCAGCGATCGTATGGAATTAGGAAACAATGACACAGCAAGAATTGAGAATTCACAGATATGTGGAAATTGAATATCCATTGGATCAAAAAATAATAATCAAAAGATATATCTAAAAATACCGTTAGACAAACAAAAATGGAGACCCAATGTACATGAAACCTATGGAATGCCACAAAAGAAGTTCTAAGTGGGAAGTTTTGGGCAATGAATGCCTAGATTAAGGAAGAAATCTCAAATAAACAGTCTCACTTTATACCACAAAGAACAAAAATGACAGCCAAATTGAGCCCTTAAGTTAGTATAAGGAAGGAAATGGCAAAGATCAGAGCAGAGTGAGATGAAGTGAGGGAAACTAAAGAAAAAATCAATAAAACTAGGAGTTGGTTTTCAAAAGAAAAATGATAAAACTTCAGTGGAACAGAAAAACGAGAGAATGCTCAACACAGTAAGAACTAAGAGAGAGGATCCGTCACGGCTGAGACCTGAAACCCGAGGACGTAAGGTCTGTGTGGTCTGCAGACGGGGCGGCAGTGAAACGCACCTGGACCACAGAGTGTGCGGGATGCATAAAGAGCTGGTGAATAGTAACACGAGAGAGGGACAGAAGGAAGACAATCATAGCTCAAAGAAAAACGCTGATTGAGGCACAGAGAAAACGAGGCCTGAGGGGTCCAGCCCCAGTGACCCAGGACAATGAGCACAGACCACACATGGATATTTGGCATAATGTCCTTTAATGGAGATAAAGTTACGACTTCAGTGTTTTCGTCAACCTGAATACTTACAGAGCTCCACATGAGCTGGGGGGCTGTACTGGGCACTGCAGAAAGAGAGTTTACCCAGCCAAAGACACCAGGCGTCCTCAGGACAATTCCCAGAAATAGGAATGCAGAAGGCCATCGAATGTCGGAGAAGTTGCCAACTCACTGGGGGCGAGGATGGGCTCACAGAAGTAGATGCCACTGGTGCATCAGGTGGGGAAGTCAGCACAGAGACTCCTGGGGCAGCAGCACCCAGGGCCTCATGGGCCTTGGGCCAGTGCAGAACATCCTGATGCTCTTGGGGGGAGAAACAGGAAATGTTAACTAAGTGAGGATCTCACAGCTCATGCTGCTGCCTGTGGAGTTCCAGTCCCCAGGAACTCTGGCAGAGGCACTGTGTCTGCACAGTGGGCAGAACACGGGGGCTGTCGGTGAAGTCAGAAGCACACTTCCCTCAGGAGAGCTGGGAGTGCTCCGTCCATGCCCTGGCAGAAGGTGCCCACGATCTACTGTCAAGTCAAAGTTCCAAAGGCAGTGTTATGGTTTCCAGCTTAGGTGTCCCTCAAATGCTCGTGTATGAGAGAGCGCAGAACAGTTTAGAGGTGAAGGATTGGGTTAGGAGCCTTGACGGGATCATGAGTTAGTCGTCTGATAAGAATTACCTCAGTGGAGACTATAGGCAGGTAGAGTGGCTGGAGGAGACGGGTCACTGCGGGTGGAGCTTTGGGCTTTATATTTTGTGAGCTGACTTGAATCTCTCTTCTCTCCTTCCTGGTGCCACGTTCTCCGTTGTGTCCCTCCACCACGCCCTTCTTTCATGACGCTCTGCCTCCCTTCTGGTCTAGAGCACCAGAGTTGGCCATCTATGGACTGAGAACTATGGAACCATAAGTCTCCAAATAAAATTTTCCTCCTCTAATTTCTCTTGTCCGGTCTTTTTTCATAGCAGTGGAAAACTGACCAAAACAGAAATTGGTACCGAGAAGTGGAGTTGTTGTTGTGACTTACCTAGCCATTTGGTTAAGAAGCTGTTGGAGCTTTTTGAATTTTTATGGGAGGAATTCTGAAAAGTTCAGAGATGCAAACTGGAAACGTTTTAGATTGTTGTAAAAGGAGATTAATGAGTAATTCTGGAGGGAGTTCAGAAGACCAGAATGCTGGTAGAACTGTGGACAATAAAGACTAGACTCAAGAGGTTTTAGAGGGCTATTTTGGAAACTGGACTAGAGGCCATTCATGTTAAATCTGGTGTAGAAGTTGTCTGCATTTTGCCATGTCCTGAGACTTTCTATGATTCTGAACTTAAAGGTGATGGATTTTTAATCTGGTGGAAGAACTTTCTAGGCAGCATAGCATTAAGGCAGTGATATGGATATTGCAGACATCTTTTAGCTAAGTTTATTGTGATGGTCAGGAGAAGAAAACAAAGAAGAAAGTTTTGAAAAACTTCCAGTTTGTCCAGAAAATTGCCAGTAAAACCAGAACTAAGAAAGGTGTGGTTGTTAAAGACATTACTGCCATAAAGAGACACTGCTGAATGCTTTATCCAGAGACACTAGGAAGGGAGGCTGAGGGCATCTCAGGAATTTGCAAGACCAAACCCATCTCAGGTTCAAGGGAATAAAAGTAAAAAATCCTTTGAGAAGAGACCAGTGGGGCATTCTGCTTGCACAGGGGGCCATGCTCAGCCACCCAGGCACTCAGAGTCTGCAGTAACTGTGGTCCCTGGAGGCTTGGGGGCTGCTCCAGATGGCAGCAGACCTTGGTGTCACCACAGGGTGCTGGTTCTGCAGGATTGCAGGAGTAAGAGGAGTTGGGGGTCAAGGAGGCTTCCACCAAGATTTTAAAGGAAGGCCTGGGAGGCCGGGAAAAGTGCAGAGGGTCAGAGTTCCTGTGTGCTGCCCTTTAAAAGGGACACATGGACATGTGAGGAGGAAGTCAAAGGTGGAGACCCCCATGATTAGGAAATGCCAGTCACATGGAACGTCTCCTAGGAAATCTGCAGGAATGGAGCAGAGACAAGCCAAAGAGGAACCAGAAGGCCACGGGGTGGAGCCACACAAGCCCGCTGGGGACAGCATCATGATGCCGTGTGCCCAGATGCAGGACACAGAGCTACGGACTTGTTTGCCAAGCTGGATTTTGGTCTTGCTTTGGTCCTGTCCTTCTTTCTATGCCACTATTTCTTCACATTAAAATGATTACTCTGTGCTTTCATGCATTGGATCTACGTCACTTGTTTTTGATTTCTATAGGGACTCAATGAAAATTTGCCTTGGGTCAGAGGAGACTAGAAACATGGACTTTAGGTAAATTCTGGAATTCTTAAGATTATGGGGAGTCTTGAATATAGACTAAATATATCCTGCCTGAGCTTTAGAGGACGAAGGGAGGAAAGCTATGGTTTCAATATTAGTTGTCCCCCAAAAGTTCATGTGAGAGAGAGTGCAAGAAAGTTTAGGAGTGATATGTGGGTATGTGGGTTATGAGAGTTTTAACCTAATAAATGAGTTCCTCTGATTGATAGGGATTAATTGAGGGCCTGTAGGCATGGAGGGTGTGACTGGAGGAGGTGGGTCATTGGGGGTCTGCCTTTGGGTATATATTTCATGCAATGAGAATTCTCTCTCTCTCTCTCTCTCTCTCTCTCTCTCTCTCTCTCTCCCCTTCCTGAGACATGTTCTCAGTTGCTTTCCTCCCCAACACCCTTCTGCTATGATGTTCTGCCTCCCCAGAGGCCCAGAGAAAATCATTGGTCCATCTATAGACTGAGAGCCCTGACACTGTGAGCACCCAAAAAAATTCTGGGGCTCTAATTTTTCTGGTCAGGTCTTGTGGTCACAGCAACAAAAAAGTAGACTAAAAAAGGCAGGCTAGTGAATGTAGTGGCCCTGGGACACAAGACACCAACAGAAGACCCCAGACATGCAGACACATGTGTGGGGACAGGGCCAGCTGCACAGGGCCGAGGTGCAATGGGGTCAGGAGTAAGAGGATTCTTAACGTCCGTCACTTCTTACTTGTTCAAATTTCCAAGCATGAATTTGTTTTGAATTTAGGAGACAGAGA